TGCGGTGGCATTTATTTTTGTATATAAATATTTTTTTTATATGAGATATACATTATGAAAATCTTTTATATATATATATATATATATATATATATATATATATATATATATATATATATATATATATATATATATATATATATATATATATATATATATATATAAAGAAAGAGAGAGAGAGATCAATGTGACAGAGGAATATTGAATCCATTGGACGTGTAAACGAAAGTATTATTATTGAATATTCATATTATTTTATTTGATTCAATCAAACTAAAAGTTTATAATGGACTTGTAATCGATTCAATCAAGACTCAACCTAATCAGATTTATATCAAGTGAGCTAAGTAGTTGGAGTCGACCTCTAGGCTCATATATTAATAAGAAAAGGATGGGTACAAAGAGATATTATGGAGCATTCTATTCATCCTCGCTTGATATCCATGTGAATAATATAAAATATCTTCATCTTTATCGCATCAGAGTTAAATCCTTATTAATACTTATACCCACGAGTATAATTAACACCTCTAGCTATGATCTAACTAATTAGAGTAAGTCGAGTCAAAAAAACAAAAAAAAAAAAAGAATCTAAAAGCCCAACAGCAACCCAAATCTATTCGAGTCCAACTCTCCTCACCACATTCTCCTTCCCATTATAAACTCTGGGCAACCAATTTGGTATCCATCGGTTCTTCAAATCACGGGACAATTTGTAAGCTGAATGCTTAATTAAATTCACATTTGGGTCCTATTTAGCTCCTCGAATTGCTTTTCTTTAGGTCCCAACACATTTGGGTCCTATTTAGAACTCAATCTAATCCGACTCGGACGAAACCAATCGAGTCGAGTTTGACGCGTACAAACTGCACCGATGAAGACACGGTTGCCAATTCTGGACGGAGATAAATGAGGGCGGTCACTGTGGTGCATCGAACAGGGACCGGGAACTTGGAGCCCTCACAACGCCACACGGAGAGGCTCAAATCATATGTTCCGTGAACGACGGTGTTACCGCGTTGGGTCCCACGGTCCCAAGATCGACTAATCGCTGTTCCCTCATCTGGGCGAGATAGGCGATGTCGGCCCGCTTCGACCACCCGTCCGCGAACGCGGACACGCGTCGTCCGTAGTTGATTCATCTCCTTCTACTTCTTCCACCCCCCTCCTCTCCTTCTCATCCGATCTTGATTATACGGTGGAATTGGGGGGAGCGAGAAGACGAACACAGGGGTTCTCGGTCGCGATCCTCATATCGCTCAAGAAGGTACGAAGACCATGTTATTTCACCCATTTCTCGTTTCTTCTTTTTGTGATCCGGCCATCAGAATACGTAGGAACTCGCTTTCGCCTTTTTTTGTCGCACGAAGAAAGAGGAATCGCGAATCCCTCTTCCTATGGTCATGCGAATCAGGGATCCTTGTTCGCCTCATTCGATCACAACCCGTTATTGGATGGTTTATTTGTCCAAGACCAAGCAAAAAGGCTTCTTTAGATCGATTTGGATTTACATTAGCATGATCCACGCAAATGTGTTTCTTTTAGATACGGACTGAAATAACTTAAAATGGATTTGGATTTGGGGATTGGGTCATCAAGTGCTAAAGTTTCGGTTTTGGAATGCATGTTACGGTTTTTTTAGATGGATTACGAGAATAGAGCCATTTGACTTCTCGATGGTGTATATTGTCTGGGAACTTGGCCGTATAAGTTGGGTTTGTCAGTATTCTTTGTATGGTCATGATGATGATTAATCGGAATGTGGATGGACTTTTTCTCCTGAACCAATTTACACATGATCCTTATAAATCCGATTTATTATGGTGATATTTTCTTCGTATCCACAAATTTAGTGAACATCCTTCTTATCTAGACATGTCTTGGAGATGGATCAATGTGCATTATTCATAGGGATACCTTTAAGCCAATTTATACACTATGTGACCTTGTGAGGTGCATTAATTTAATAATGAAACACTCATAGTGCTATGTGGAAGGGGAATTAAGGAAAATGTAGGTTGCTTCTTTTTCATTTTCCTCTTTCATCTGACCCGGAACCCATAATGTTTTGGCAAATGTGTTCTGTTAATTATAAACCTATTGTTTCATTGTACAAATGATGATCCATTATTGTGACATTCATCATCATTTCTAAGCCTGTCATTCCATTTTTGTTTCTCTAAAATTTTTGTTCCTAGATCACGTTGACTTTTCATGAATGTCTAAAAATGAGTCTCAGCATTTTGATTGCCCATATGTGTCTTCTTGGTGAACGAATCTATTCATCTTTAAGATTCTTAAGACATATGGTTATCCATTAATGATTCAGATAGATGAGTTCCTCAAGTGGGCTGCCAAAATTGAAGGATGAAAGATTATGCTGAATCAGATCCATACACCATTCTAATGTAATCAAAATCGATCCTAAATTCTCTTAATTTGTTATCAGGGATTTTCACATTTTCTTGGTTCTGCCTATGCCCTTCGGCTTCTAGATACCTCTATCTGCATAGGAGCTGATTAAGCTTTAGACTGTACTAGGATCAATGCTTGATGTCAGAAAGTTTTAATATCATGTTGCAGACTAGAAACATTTTTTCTGCTGCCTATCATAGTCAAATAAGTGATTATATGTAAAAAGCTTTTTGTTTGCTGCTCTTTCACCAAATGGGTGTTGGAGCAAAAGTTTTGATATACCATTTGTTAGATGAAAATTTAGAGAAGTTGCCAACGATTCTAGAAAATATTCTAGCCTAGTTAGTACTGCTTTTTTTGTGTGTTTACGTGTTTTGCAAGTTGTTTTGATCAATCTATGTAAATTATACCATGCATCTGCTTGTCATTAGTTTGTCAACAGATTATTTCTTGTTTCAGTTTTTTTTGCCTTTGGTGTATGGTTTGTAATTGTCTGAGCTCATCTTGTTGTCATCTTCCTATTTTGTTTTCATTCTACAGATCAACCGCAGTTATTCGAGCCTTTGTTTCGGGCTAGTCTCACCAAAGATTCTTTTTTTTCATGTTTTTAGTTATTTTATAATAACTTGCAAGATCCTTTTTTATGCTTTTAGTTAATTTATTATAACTATCATTTCAACTGCAGTTTCTTAAGCTTCATTACAGCTCATCATGTCAGAAATGGATGCCAAAGAACATTTGAACCAAAGTGAGGAGACTGCCATGCCATCTTCTCAACAAGAGGTGATACTATAACCTCCTTTCTGTTGATCTGCAGATGATTGCAATTGGTATTTGAGACGTGCATGCATGAATTTCTGAGAATATATCAATGAGGATGTATCAATTTATGTTGTTATGATAACTTTTGCAGGAGGAAGCAATCAAGAAAAAGTACGGAGGAATTGTACCCAAAAAGCCACCCCTCATATCCAAGGCAAGTGCCCGGTGTCTGTAATGGGTACCATTTATGCTGCAGTTGCATATCCCATATGAATAATTATAGCATTCTTGGACAACTAACATTTAGAGAAATTCTTATGCAGGATCATGAACGTGCTTACTTTGATTCAGCCGATTGGGCTTTAGGAAAGGTATTTTGATCGGCTCTTATATGCATCGTTATTACAAGTTTAAGACTTGACACAACCTTTTTCTCTGATTGGATTTGGTTCTATAATTACAGCAGGGAGGACATGCTCACAAGCCCAAAGGTCCCCTTGAGGCACTCCGTCCAAAGTTGCAGGTATCCATCGATGTTGCAGAGTATCTACCATGCTATGATACAGTTCACTGTTCTGTCAGCAGTCATCTGCTCATCAAAGTCCAATCCGATATCTGCAACATATTTTTAAGTCAACTTTTTGATGCATTTACATCAAACATGTGTGTCGAAACAAAAAATGATCATATTACAGAGGTTTTTAATTGACTGCACATTCCCATCTTTGTCAGCCCACACAGCAGCAAGCACGTTCTCGCCGCTCGGTGTATGCATCTACTGAAAATGAAGGTATTACCTGATTGTTTGCATTTGTTGTAGCGTCTTCCTTCTTCTCATGTAACCTCATCTCCTTTGAAGCTGTAGATGGGGGCAACGCTGCTTCTGAGGATATGAGTGATGATAACAGTAACAACGATCAGTGCATTTGATGGTGCTTGCTAAAGATATCCTGGCTTAGTAGTTTATGTTCTCGTCTATGAGGGATGTCTAGTTTTCACGGTTTAGTACTGAGGGAGCTTTCCTATTTGATATGTGAGAGGTTCTGCGACGTTAGTTGCAGCCTGCACTCATCCAACTGGAGTTTGTAGTAGTTTGTGAATTTGATACAAATGTAGCCTACAATGCTTTGTAATTTCACAGAACATGCGCTGTTTTCAATATTATTATAAGTGAAAATTTGCTGTTTATGGTAAACTACATCTCCATCTCACCTAATTTTTGTATAAATTTACCAACTCTTGCTTGTTTTTTTTTTTATTCCGTACTAGTGAAATCATTTGACATCTATACTTCTATCTATACTAACGAGAAGGGCTGGATAGTACTAAATTGACATATGAATAATGTATGTTTTCTCTTACTTTTTTTTCCTATATATATATATATATATATATATATA